TTCTGCTTCTTTGCCCTTTCAGTGTATTGCCCATTTCTTATATTTTATTATTAATCATTTGGATCTCTTTTTGAAGTTTTTGATTGTTTCCAATGCTGTATCAATCTTATTTGATTGTTCCTGCAGCACTTTCCTGACTTCTTTCTTACCTTTCTCTAACCTTCTGTGGAGCATGTGGATGTGCCTCAATATTATTTTCCGGAATTCCTTCTCAGGCAGTTCCAATGCCTGACCTCCTTCCAATGGGAAGTCTAAGTCTACCTCCTGCTCATTGTCTATTACTCTATCTTGTTTCTGGACATGTGCTGAAATCGCCAGTTGTTTCTTGGGCATCTTCAATAATTAGGTGTGTTTTCAGTAATTCAATGAATGTATGTTGATTTATTAAGTTTTCTGATTGTCTCCTACCAGATGTGATCAGGAGGTAGGTCAGATGTGATCAGGAAGTAGGCTTCCGTTTCCCCTTTTTTATTCACATCAAAGTAACTGTAGCAGGTGTTGGGTGTCTTATCTGGTATATAGCAGCTGGTATTGGCTTTTGCCTGGACGGTGGGATTTTACAGGGTGTGACTGTAGTTTAGTTACTTAACCACAATTGCTGTCTGTTCTTGAGTAAGAAAGGGAGAGAAAGAGGCCCCCTAAAGTTCAGAGCCGCCTGAAAAATTTCATGATGTTACAGTTGCTTCTTATGATGTAACTCAGGATTTAATTTTCAGCCTGTTTGCTTTTTAGTTTGTCTGTTACTCAACTCCACAACCCTGTTCAGTACTTTCTCCTAGTGAGAAACAGTTCAGGGCTGGCTAGAGCCATTCTGGGGGAAGGGGTGGTATCCATTTGGAACTCAGGCACCCCCCTCTAGTCACCATATTGGAGGTGCATAGACAGCGAGAGACCAACGAACACATACACAAAATGTCCACTCTATTATCTGTGAGGATCAGTCAGACCTCTGCAATGGGGAGCGCTCCTCTGATCTTGTCCCCACTCTGTAATGCTCAAAAGGGCTGTTTGGGACCTGCTGGCAGCAGCAGATCAGAAAATACCACCTTTTTGCTTCTGCTACAAATTCTACCAGCATTAAGCCTTTGAACTTTCTAAATATTCCTTTACATGGAATTCAGAGTTCTGGGACCGTCCGCTGAACCTACTTCATCCAGTATTCTATGTTATTGCTGGCGGGAGGTCCTCACTGCACTTATCCCTAATCCGCCATTAAGCCCTGCCCTCAGTATCACAAATTTTAATAATTTCTAATTTTAAAAACTGCTCCTCAGACAGTGTGACCTAAGTCATTACTCAAGCATCTGCAATTTAGAATTCTTTATATAACTACCAGTTAGGTAGCAGTGTTATATAGAACTTCACTAACTTTATAAAACTGCCTAAATCTTAAGTGTTTCCCAAAGAAACACATTTTTTTAATTATACAATGCATATAGAATATTGATTAGTGAAATGATATAATACACAGTCTAAAATTTAGCATTTAAAGTCAGCTGAATAAAGAACTTTGGTAGTACAGTAGCGCTAAGCATTTGACTGCTAACCAAAAGGATGGTGTTTCAAATCTACCTACCACTGCATGGGAGAAAGATGTAGCAGTGTTTGTAAGGAGGATAGCCTTGGAAATCCCATGGGCAGTTCTACTCTGACACATGGGTTGCTGAGTGGAATCAACCCAATAGCAGTGGATGTTTTCAGATTACATTTTAATGAAACTTCCAAGAGCATGTAAGGAGGATACAGTGCTTTCCCAATCCATTCAGACCTCTTCCACATTTATTTTCTCTTACATATATTACTTTACTTTGAAGAAAGGGTCTATATATCATGGCACACATTGTAGTTGCTCACCAATAGTTAGCTCACTGCATCTCCCTTGTTGATGTTGTTATTGTGTGCTGTCAGGCCATTCTGACTCTTTAATGGACAGAGTAGAACTGCTCCATAGGGCTTCCTAGGCCATAAAGTTTATGGGAGCAGATCACCAGGTCCTTTCTCCTTCTGGTTAGCAGCCAAGCCCATGACATTGCACCACCAGGTGCCTTTCCCAGCTGACAAGAACACAATTTTTTGGGGGGAGAGAGGAGGAAAGGCACACCCTGTCCCCAAGAAACCAATAATGACAGGGTTTAAGCCGAGTATAGTTATCTATTCCGGATCCTGGTTTTCTCAACTTGCCCTGCAGGTAGAATTGTCAATGAGAGCCAATTCTGGCCATGGAGTGAAAAACTAATTATGGTACGTCTAGGAGGTTTTTCCTCTGACAAAAGAAACCTTCTGAGTCAATTTCAGTAGTACCTACGATACTGTTACAGCCAAAAGGCCTCAAGCAAGAGATCCAAAAGCAGAAAATGGAAAAGGTCTAGGTCTCTAATGGTATAATTGAGTCCGTGTACCTCCAGAAATCTTGTTAAAAGAAAGTGAACATCTCCTACCTATAGGTATGCAATTCCTTGATATGTCCCTTATACATGTTCTTGTTAAGTGCTGTTGAGTTGGTTCCAACATAGCAAGCCTGAATAGGGTTTCCGAGGAGTGGCTGGTGAGCTTGAACCACTGACTTTGCAGTCCAGCACATTAACCCACAGTGCTACACTAGGACTCCTTATACATAAGGCATTTAAAATCACTATGCAGGCTGAGACTGATAAAACTGTGTGCCACTTGCTGAACTGCATCAAGCAGGAGCTCTTGTACCACTGAAGATTCTTGATTTCTAGACTATTAAATCAACTGCATGTCAACTTAGAAAGCTTTTATTCTTTTTGCCTCAATAGATGTCTGCAAACTATACAGCTGGAGTTTCACAGACCCTGTAAGTGACTCGAGTTTCCATACTAGTACTAGCACTACCACTAACTGATGGAGAGTTAGTCCTTGAACGACTCCTATGCACATGAAGGGTTGAAAAAGCTCTGTTCCAGACTATTCTGGGTGTGACTCAGTAACTCGGTTAACATATCTTTCTGTAAGTCAGGTGGATCTGTCAACTAATCACATAAAAGAATTACTGATGAAAGATCATTGTGAATTGTGGCATGTAACTTGTTGTTTGTTGTTAAGTGCCCATAGAGTTGGTTCTGACTCACAGCAATCCTCCATAGGGTTTCCAAGGTTATAAATCTTTACAAGAGCAGAAAGCCTCACCTTTCTCCCGTGGAACTACTGGTAGTTTTGAACTGCTAGCCATGAGATTAGCAGCCTGACTTGTAACCACTATGCTACTTGAGCCCCTTGGCATATAACTTAAGAGTCCAAATAATTGAATAACAGTACCCTTAACAAAACTCCTTGGTGTGGCATTACAGGAAAAGCTCTGGCCTGCTAACTGCAATATCAGCAGTTCCGACTCACCAGTTGCTCCTTGGAAACCCTATATAGATTGCTATGAGTTGGAACTGACTCAATAGCACTTAATAACAACAACTCCTTCCAGTGCAACGAATTAACTATGGAAGTAAGATTTCTCAGCACTTCTATAAAAACAGAAACTTAGGAATAGGATTGATACTGAATCCTGTCATATTTCAGAATTAAGAATGTAATGCGGTAACTAAAGAATAACCATTAAGATAAAATTCTTTAAGAGAATCAAAATAAAATTTCAAAAACTACTTTTAATCTACACAGGCTGCCCCCAGGTTACAAATGCCTGACTTAAAGCACAGCCTGTAGTTACCAATGAATCCCCATATAGCCTATTGTAGTATTTAAAATTTAAGACATACACAATGGTTCCTAATAACAAACAGAACTACACTTAGCAATGTGCATCAAAAATCATTACTATTATTATTATATTGTGTTAAAGATGCTTTAGTGAATTTGGAAGTACTTCTTCAATGTTTTTATGCATAGTAAAGTATACTGTACACTAAGACAAGCATTTGACTGAAGTTAGATATGAACAGTATATAAACTGCTCTGATGTATGTATAAACTCAAAGACATACTTTGGAACAGAACTCACTCCTAATATGGGATCACTATATATATTTTTTTATTTTTAATTAAAATCATAGGGTATCAATGTAAATACATTACATAGGGATAAAATTCTGTACAAAAGTAGGAAGAAAACTCAATTTCAAAGGAAAAAAAGAACGAAGTAATATTTTAGACTGAAGCATTTGTTCATGAATTTTTAAATGAATGGAATGTAGGCAGTCAATTATATATATATTATTGTTGTTAAGTGCTGTCGAGTCGGTTCCAACTCATAGCGACACTGTACAGGATTTCTGAGGCTGTAAATCTTTACGGGAACAGAAAGCCTCATCTTTCTTCCACGGAGCAGCTGGTAGTTTCGAACTGCTGACCTTAATGTTTGTAACTACTACGCTACCAGAGCTTTATATATATATATATATACATATATATATACTTTTAAAGGAAAATCATAAAAGTTTTATTTTATGCTATGATGCTGAACAGGTTTAAGAAGAGTTTCTAGACTGAAACTACTACACTTCGAATAATTTAAACTTCCAAAGGCAGGAGATGGGAAACACTTTAAAAATATGCAAGATAATATTCTCCCATGTAAACTATCACATAATTCACAATAAAACATTAAAATATATATATATGCAAGAGTATATACAGCATTTCAAAATTCTTAGGAGGTATGACAAGTGAAAACATTTGCGTACCTCTGTTCTTTATGTAGAGTACCGAGGTCCATTATCTTTCTAATTTCCTTTTACCATTTTGTATGTTAACACTGAAGAACTTGACAGGAAGGGAAACCTAGTCATTGTCCATCCATTCCTTAAGAGAAGTTAAGTTTTTCCTGACCTTCATTTTTTAAGAGATTTTTTTTTTCCCTTTGGAGTGACCTCATATGAGAAACCCACTTAGCAGATGGTATTTAAGAAAAGTAGTAAACATTTATTATGTTCACATATTATTAGAGAAAATTTTTTTTTCACATTTCTTCCCTTTTGAGAATAAAGAATAGATGAACAAGAGCTTGAATTACAAAGTATTATACTTACTGTGCTTTCATTTTCAGCATTTCTTCAATTATTTTGCTCTATGTAAAATAAAAATAGAAATGATAGCTTAAGTTCTTAAACAACATTGCCAAAAAAAAAAAAAAAAAAAAAAATCCAAACTAACAAGCCCACTCTCCCTCACAGTAATCAAATCAATTAAAGACAACATCCTTTTTCCAAATCCCGACTACAGGCACTTGATACTTGCTTCTATATAGGCATGAAGACAAAATCACTCTAAATTCTCAGCTATGTCTAAATACTGTTGGTTTAAAAAAAAACTGCCACTGAGTCGACTCTAACTCTGTAGAACAGAGTAGAACTGCTTCTCAGGGTTTATAAGGCTGTAAATCTTTATGGAGGCAGACAGTCTCATCTTTCTGCCATGAAGCAGCTTGTGGGTTTGAATAGTCAAACTTGTACTCAGCAGGCCAATGCTTATCCTATTTTGCCACCTTACAAGCAGATAGTAAATAAACAGTGGGAACACAGAAAATACATAACAATAAACACTAACCATAAAAGTTAAAAAAAAAAAAAAAAAGATCATACTTTGGCAAGTCTTTCTTGGATGATTTCATCTTGTTCATTCTTCAGTTGTGGACTGACTGGATGATTCTGATCACTACATAGGTTAGCAAAAGCAGGAGATGGGAGACACTATCAGTATCAATTTCAAATGCAGCAATGCCATGTTGTGCAGAGAAAAGGTGACTCCATGGTGATTGGTCAAGCTAGCATAGCTGATAGACACATGGTTTGTACTGGAAAAGTGTATTTCATCTCCAAGATGCAGAGCTGAGAAATCTAATCCAGGCTTGGTTGAAAGTGAACTAAATAGCATCTTATTAAAGGTGAGAAAAAGGGAGCTGAGAGTAAGAGCAGGTTGAGAGTGTGAGATGACTGGGAGCAGTTGGGAGGAGGCATGTGTACTGGCCAAGAGGGTTGGCTCAAGCTTCAGGATGGCCAGGCACCTGAAGCCCCTGATTTTCCCTTTGCCTGGATTTCATGGTAGGCTGGCAATTTTCTGATGACAACACTGGATTCTTATGTGTGCAGGGAAAAGAAGGTTGCATTCTAGAGGTTACATCAGTATCATATAAATTTGAATAGTGTGAGAGTAAGGTTTTTTCTCTTTTAATGAATCTGGCCACTTAGACAAAATGCTAATGACACCTCAATGAGGAAAATACAATTCACTGAGAGATGTTTTCTGTGCTCTAATCTATGGGCTGGTAAACTTTTTCTGTCAAGGACCATTAGTAAATATGTTAGGTTTGGTAGTCTATTCCACAGCTAATAGAGTACAGAAATAGCCATTGTTATTGTTAAGTGCCATCCAGTTGATTCCAACTGATAGCAACCCTGAGCAACCCTGTATAGGGTTCCAGAGGAGTTGTTAAGCTTGAACCTCCAACTTTGCAGTTCAAACCAACCTTGTAGTCCAGCACACTAACACGCAGCACTACACCAGGACCTCAAAAGTAGCCACCGTAATATAAAAACTAAAGTGCATGACTGTTTTGATAACTTTTTGTTACTTTAATATGGCTGGATATGGGGGTGGAGCATATGGAAACCAGGTGAACATATTTCTGTACTTTTCCCCAGCCCTATTAAATCAGATTCTTGTTGCTCAATATGTTATCTCACTTAGATCTGGAACAGGGCATCTCAGGGCTGCTCCAGGACAGGATAGGAGCTGCACCCCAGCTGCTGAGACTGTCCCCTGACCCTTCTGGGAACAGCAGGATGGCAGACTCCCCTAATCTGGGGATTTGAATTCAGTATGGATCTCTACTCTAAATAGAGACTCCTTTGATTCAATTCAACATCATACAATTTAACAGTCCTTCACTCAGAAATTGACCAGTTGGCAAACTCAGAATCCTACCTTGGAGTACTTAGTAACTACCATTTTATTTAGTAAGAGCCTTTCCTTTGTCAAGCATGGCAATTGGCATTTTGCACATGGTAATAACACCTTACGAAGTAGTTATCACTAACCTCTTTATTTCTAAGCTAAGGAAACTGAGGCACTGAGAGATTTTTAAAAATGTGTCCAATGTTATCCAACTTTTTAGAGAGAGGGACATAAATCTGGGTGTAGTTAACCGTGACATCCTGGAATACCACCGCTACCACCACCACCTTAGCATTAGTCAGAACAAAGATACACAGACAGAAAGTCCTGAGCCCAAAGAGGTACTCTTTGCACTTTCTCTGCACTGCTTCCTTGGCCTTGTCTTGTTGATTTATTTTACCCAAAGAAGGCAAAACAGCTCAGTTAAAGTATTGCACATGTTTTCAGTTCATACAGTTCTATAATAATGCAAAGGTTAACACTCTGGATACAGTGATAAACTCATCAGACCAGTTTCAAATGTAACCAATGTCACCCCAATCATGTAACAATTTTCAGGCAGGCTCTTTCTCACCTGTTGTCTTTGTGTCTTTTAATACCATCCAGCTGACCTTGAAGGAGCCAGGTTTGCTCCCTTAACTGCTGAGCTTCAAGACGTAAGTTTTCCATCTCACACAACTGCTCCTGATAACATAGCAAATTATGTTTTTTCATTCTAGAAAATTCATTTAGTAGTTATTACTTTGCTCCAAAGTCTATGACTAAGGTCGGTTTTCCTTTTTTAAGCTCCTTCACTACACTATGGACCACTGAATAAAAAGTTGACTGAGCCATTTTCAGAGCCAGTGTCTATCACATACTTTATTCAAATTGCTTTATGAGAAAACATGGCCAAGTCTTTTACTTTGGTAAATGTTCTCAACTATTTTATTCTATTTCATGGATTCTAATTTGTAAAGAACATCATTCATGAAGCAAAAGATCATTATAAAAACAGGAAACAAAAGACCAAACTGAGTATCAGAAGAGACTCTGAAACTTGTTTTTGAACACAGAAATTAAAGAATTGTAAGAAAAATACACTGAGATAACTAACATGCTTTATCTATTTAATTGGCAAAGACCCTAAAGCTGGGTAGCACTGAGGGAAGGTTTAAGGAAACAGGCTCATTTACTGCTAATGAGAGTACAACTGGTACAGCCTGTATAATACGATGGTCTGATCCCACTGTGTAAGAAGTGAGTGAGGTAGGGCAAGAATTTGTTGCTGTTAAGTGCCGTCGAGTCAGTTCTGACCCATAGCGACCCTGTACAGGGTTTCCGAGGGTGTAAAGTCAGTTCTGACCCATAGCGACCCTGTACAGGGTTTCCGAGGGTGTAAATCCTTACGGGAGTAGAAAGCCTCATCTTTCTCCCGCGGAACGGCTGGTAGTTTCGAACCGCTGACCTTAAGGTTCGCAGCCCGATTCGTAACCACTACGCTACCAGAGCTCCTATTGCCCTAAACAGCTCTAAAAGAAAGAACTAAGAAATGGCTACACTGGGAGACTCCAAGAAAAGCAAACTGAATAGTGTGAGGCCAGGCTTGGAAGATTTCTCTGTTTAACCCTTCAGTTCTCTATCTTGAATTTTGTATCCTCAATAACCATGAAGATATAATATGTTCAAAAAAATTACATTATTTTAAAAATTACACTTACCTTCATTCTGAGGATTTCAGCATTTTTTACTTCTCGGTCTTCGTTTAGCTTTGTTACCAGGTGTTGCAAAGAAATTTTAGAGGCTCTTCCATCTTCTATCTCTTGTTCTTGTGTTTCCAGGAGTTTTGCCAAATGTGTTTGAAAGTGAGGTGGTGTTTTAGGGCTCTAAAATAAAACCATATCTCATCCAACTACCTGATTGATTTCATAAAGGTTTCATTTTAAATGTATGTGCCAGGCACATAGAACACACTCAGGTTATTTAGCTGGTTAACAAAACAAAAGACTACTATCTTCATGAAGCAAAAAGCCAAGAAAGAGGGTGATTTCCAAAGTGACACTTTTATCATTCACAAAACTGTTTATTCCCTCGAAACTGCACTCTTTTTGTGAAAAATACCTGGGGGTACTCAGCAGCAGAATCCATCACATGTTCCAGTTGCCTCATTTTCAAGTTGTATTCATTCTTTTTCTGTTCTACCTCCTCTCTCTTTTCTTTCAGCTGGAAAAGATGAGCAGATGTAAGGTTACAAGTTAAAAAATCAATATGGGAACCCAGTCGAGTTAGAAAAGCTAGGTGTCCCAAAGTATGTGGGTAGAAATAAGCTTTCCACGTTATTTTTCAGGAAGTGATTAATAATTTTAAAAGCATTATGTTATTAAAACAAAACAAAACTGCAGCATATTTTAAAGCATACACTGTAAATTTGGTGTTTTTGCTACGTTGGTTCCTACTATAAATCAACCATCTCTTTTTTCTCATAAATTCACAATAAAAGATTCACTTGAGAAAAAAAATGCAAAATATAAAACAACAGCCCAAAAGGAAAACAAAAAGCAGTTATAACCTCAACACTGTGGCAGAACTTGCTGCCATATGGCAAAGATCTAGGGAGGCAGCCAAGCAAGTTTCCTATCACAAAAGCACACTCAAGTCCTTAAGATGCTAACTTGGCCATCTACACTGCAACCACCAGATTACCTGGCAGTTACACTACCTTACCTTTATAGTGCAGAAATTAGTCATGACGACCTCAACTGCAGACTCTTCTTGTCCCTTTCTGGAATATAGCAGTGACACCTCTTTGTACCTCACCTTGTGCTGCAGTTCCTGGATCAGGGCCTCCTTCTTCGTCAGCTCTTCCTGGGCAGACTGGAGCAGTCCTGAATGCTTTTTCGAGGCCTCTGTGAGCATGTTCAGCTGCTCAGTGGCATGAGCCAGGTCCTCACAGAGCATATCCCGCTGTTAGGGAACAACCCCACAAAGAAAAATTTCTTAATTGTGGTTCTCCAATGAGGGACATGCAAATTATTGCTGTGTACAGTTATTTAAAGGCTAAGAAAGTTTGAAGAACTGTTTTGTTTTTGTGCCAACCCATTCCAAGACAAACCAAGCAGTCACTATTTAGGTGAACAGGTCTAGAAATAAATATTACAATATGATCTGAGGTTTAATTGTACCTTGATCCCCTCTTCCCTACCTGCAGACCTATCCCCTCAATTCAGGATCTCAAAGCGGATCTGTTTCCTATCTACCTGTTGCTTCACCAACTGACTCTAGTTCTTTATATACAGGAAGGTAAACAGCTGTAGTAAATATGGGCCCCTCTCAAACAGCTAGGGAAGGACTGGGCAGCTCACTGTCACAGGAAGGAATTAGAAGTCCTATGAATATGCATTATATATCCAAACACGTTGCTGGCATTTGACGCTGACTCACAGTGAAAACCTATAGAATAGAGTATAATTGCCCACAGGGTTTCCAAAGTTGTAATCTTTACGGAAGGAGATTGCCAAGTCTTTCTGCCATGAAGAGGCGGGTAGGTTCATACTTCCAATCGTTCAGTTAGCAGCCAAACATTTATCCACTGCACCACCAGGGCTCCTTGCTCCAACTAAACTGGAGCAGAATTTCTTTGTATTTTCATTCCTTTCCAAACTGTGTGTGTGTGGATGTTGTTGTTAGGCCCATTGAGTTGGTTTGGACTCATAGTGACACAACAGAACAAAACACGGTCTGGTCTGCCCCATGCTCATAATTGCTGTTATGTTACAGCCCATTACTGCTGCCACTCTATTAGTCCATCTTGTTGAGGGTCTTCCTCTTTTTCGCCGTCCACTTTACCTAGCATGATGTCCTCTTCCTGACAACATATCCAAACTATGAGATGAGATCACCCCATCCTCACTTCTAAGTAGTGTTCTGGCTGTGCTTCTTCTAAGACAGATTTGTTTGCTCTTCTTGCAGTCCATGGTACTTTCAATATTCTCCTCCAATACCAACACTCAATGCACCAATTCTTCTCCAGTCTTCCTTATCCACTGTCCAACTTTCACAAGCATAGGAGGCTTGAATCAGGCACAACATAGTCCTCAAAGTGACATCTTTGCTCTTAAATACTTTAATGAGATCCTTTGCAGCAATCTTTTCTCCATTTATCATGATGTTATTTATTGGTCCAATAGTGGGGATTTTTGTTTTATTTAAAGTGACATGCAATTCATACTGAATTCTTCCATCTTTATCACTTTGTATTTGAAGTCCTCACTACTTCAGTTATAAACTATATAAAAACTCTTATTATTTCTAACAAGATATCTGAAGGTGCACTCGCTATTTGGGGAGTCAATTCCACTAGAATAAAAACTATTTTTATATGTGTACTCAGAAATTTTTTTGAGAGAGAAAAGGAGAAGGGAAGAAGATAAAAAAAGGAAAGGAAGGAGGGAAGGAACAGGAGGGCAAAGCAGGAAAGCAGGTAGTTTTTAGGTGAATTGCTATGAGTACTCATCATTTAGCTACTCCACCTAAATGCCATCAAGTTGGTTCTGACCCATAGTGATCCTGTATAGGGTTTCCGAAGAGCAGCTGGTGACCTTGAACTACCAACCTTGCAGTTCAAATGGTTTTGCAGTCCGGCACATTAACCCACAGCGCCACACCCAGGACTCCACCTAAATGCCTAGATTTCCCCCTTTTCCTTTGACAAAAGGAAATGTGAAAGTCAGTTTAGCCCTCATTTTATATGTTGTATAAGACTGTCAAGTATGGCTTTTGTGGTCTAACTAAAAGTATTATTAACATATAATGAGCACTTCCACAGCACAGGATCCACCTGGACACCAACAACTGCCCTCTCTTCTGCTCTTAAAGTTCAAGTCGGTTACACCTACTGTTAAACCATGGGCAGACACTCCACACATGTTATCAGCCACCTTCCCTTGCAAGGTCTTGTATAATTGCTGTCTCCTATAGGAAGCTCTTCAGGAGATTCCCTGAAAGAATTTACTTTTCTGCCTCCTTTTTCTTTGCTACAAAGTGTTACACGCTACAAAGTGTTACATTGTGAAACACCCAACTCTCAAGCTAGATCATAAGCTAAATTTTTACTGAATTCGTTTTAAGGGTAATATTTTTAAAAAAGGATTAGTTCACATCAGCAATACCAAAAAAATGAAACCTACTTTAGCTAAAATAAAAGAGGCACCCTGAGAATGTTAATCCTGCCATACACTCCTTGTCTTTTTTCCTTTGGCTCCCAAGGAAATAGTTCCCACTCTGCTCCCCTTACTTAATCTTAGTGCTCTCTCCTAATTGCCTGATTATCCTCAGGAAAAAGTAATCTTAGTGTTCTCTTAACTACCTCCACATACAAACATACATACTGACAAGTTGTTATTTGCTGTTAAGTGCCATTGAGTCAGTTCCAACCCATAGCGACCCTGTATAGGGTTTCCAAGGAGCAGCTGGTGAGCTTGAACCGTCACAAGTATTAAGGCAAAAAGAGTTGCTATGGGTGAACATCTACCTCTATGTCCTCAGAGAGTTTTCTCAGCCTGAGGGCTTCTTTCAGATCCAGAATCTCCACCTCCTGTCTCTTAATCAACACTTTGCTCTCTTCTTTGTCAGCCAAAGCAGAGTTGTATTTGCACTGCAGAAAAGAAAGTTATAATACAAGAGCTGTTTACTTTATTAACAAGAATAAATTTCATGGTGATAATCAGATTCCATTTACACAGTTAATTCAATAAAAATTTGAAGACCAAGTATACAAATGGTAAAGAAAAGTAGAAAAGTCTCAAAAGTATCCGTGTGAAACTGTTTTTCTGTCATCTCTAGAAGCAGCCGGTCTTCAGAAACTAAATGGAACCATAACAAAAATAATATTGACTACATAAACTCACCCTTGAGACAACTAAGCAACACTACAAAACCTTAAGTGTCATAGCCAACAAACACAGTATCTTAGCTAGTTTCTACCAGCAATTCTCATACTGCTCAGAAAACAAATGCTATCCAGATATAATGTATGGCGAAACCTTAAAGGTTCTCCAAGTCCCATAAATACAGACATCTGTTGAATTTAATTAAAATTTCCAAATTGAGAAAAGATTCTTTCTATGTTCTAATAAAAGAGTCTGTGAAGTATAGTTCATGTTCAAATTTAACATTACCTTGTTGGGGACAGAACTTACATTAATGTCATTCAGTTCCTGCTTCAAAGTGTCAATAGTTTCTGTTTTCTCACAGAGTGATGTTCTCAGTTCCTGGATCTGACTCAAGAGGTCTACTACAACTTCCTGACAAGGAAAGAAACAAAATCCTCATTCCCAATGACTTTAAGGAGGTGATAATCTGTATATTTTCTTTCGTTTTATAAACAAGTAAATAATAAACGTATACGGAATTTTATCTACTTTTATACTTGGATATACATTGAAATCTCTGAGAGCTGGAACTCCCCACATGACTGCCTTGCTGTTCCAGGTCATGCAAGTTTCCCATAGAATGAACTTCTCTGAGTCCATGATACAAATTTTCCATTCCCTGGTGTCAACTTTAGCTAGCATAATAATAATCTGTAATGTAAAACCTGCAAAATCAGGAACCTGTGCAAGGAGGAAACCTGTCAGAGAAAAAAAATTCAACTTATTTTCCACTAAATCAGTCACCATGAGTGTGAGATGGAGCAGGAGGAGACTAGAGTGTGAAAATAGCATATATGAGGTGAGTTTTACGTGTAGAAATTGATGAATTCATTTATATTCGGTGTCTAATCGCAATAAAATCCTAAATTAAGAAAATCCACAAAGGGATTTGCATACTCTGCTTACCTTGTCAGCATCTCTAGACTTCTCCAGAGTACTGATCACTTTTTCAGAAGCAAACAAACTCTCTTCTAGTTTCTGTACTTTTGCCACCTACAGGGAAAATTAAGTATTTTTAGAAGCAATTAAATCACAAAGCTAACTGCATACATATAAAAATCAAGTTGAAATCTGTGTTGCACAATATAGAGTGCACTGTGAGAGCAGTACTTGACAATGATAAATTGGATCGAAAGTATTATTTGTTGGTGATTTCCTAATTCCCACCTGGGTGAAACATAAGATATGAAAAAATAACAGAACCAGACAAAAATTCCAACTTTTAACTCCCAATTTCAAACATCTGAGAGGTGAAACTTTTTCAACCTAATAGGTATTTAGATACCACGAATAAAAGTTATAAACCTCAAATTCTAGAGTGAGTGTAATAGAGACTTACCTGTTCCTCACACTTGGCCATCTCTTTCTGTTTTTCCTGACGTACAGTCTCAATAACTTTTAAGATTTCCCTGGAAGACAAAAACTAACTTTTAACTCTGACTTCATTCAATGGAAGCAGGAACTAACTATATTAGTATAGAAGAAATTCAAGACAATGCAACAGAACTTTGTTTAGGCACATGACTTGGAGACCAGAAATTTAAACTCTAACAACTCTAACTCCAGTGAAACCCATTTTTGTTTCATGGCAGTTTACTTTTCTTCAGAAAGCTCAACATTGCCTAGTATCTATTATCTGTTTCCTTCAGCTGAATGCAAAATCCATGAAGACTAGGATGTTTTATTAATTGTATTACCTCTAAATGCTCTGGCATTTATGAGAACATTATCTGCCCTGTTGGATATCACCAAATTTTTTATGAATGACTGTATCAATCTTTATCTCTCAAATAGATGTATACTCCAGGTTCACCAATGTATATCAAGAAGTGAAACTGTCTCGTAGTACGATCTCTATAAACATTTTTTGCATAAATTCTTCTCATTAGAATGATAATCAGGCTATTAACTGAGGCTAAAAGACTGACTGAGATTACCAAAGAATAGAATTGAGAGAGGAAAGAGGACAATGGCATTCAGTTAGAAAAAAGATAAGCTAAAAACAAAAAGCAGTCTCTGAAGGAACAAACAGGGTGGCGGATCAGGTGGAAGTTCAGTAAAGAGCTCCGCCAGCAACAAAACAGAATACCCGACCAGGCAGGGTCAGGGATGGTCCCAGAAATCTGAATCACATATAAAGATATATTTAGAAGGTTGGAAGGCTTACAGCTGGGGGAAATTGGGGCAGAAGCAAGAAACCCATTGCTTTCTAGTGCGGGACACTCAGCTGCTCCATGAGCCACCATCTTGGGTGAGAACAAGAGGGGGAAGGATCGGAGTGGCCACAGGCACCTGGCAGAACCGCAGAGATAAATAAAGGTGTGGACATTCTTTTCTTTTGGTAGCTGTTCATTGGTCCCTTGCTGTCTGTGCACCTCCATTCTGGTGACTATAGGGGTGCCTGAGCTAGTGGGCACCCCAGCCCCACCCTCGAAGGGTTCTACTACGCATGAGCACAGATCTCCTAGAAATTTAAAGAGACAGTTTCCAATTAAAACCAAACGGCCACAGCTGGCCCTGAACTGTTTACAACTAGAAACAAAGCATGAACAGGGATTGTGTAGCAGGACAAGCAGACAAAAAAGGAAATAGGCCGAAAAATAAATCCTAAGTTACGTCAAAACAACCAACAGTGGCATCCTGAAATTTCTCAAGAAGAAAAGTTAAAAGGGAAGCCCATTTCCCGATCAAATCTACCTGGAGGCAATCAGAAAGCATGAAAAATACCAAAATACACACCCATCTGAGTATGAAGGCCACAGATAACCCCTGAAGATGCCCAAAAAACAGAAGCAGATGACTATATCAGGTATTCAGAAAAATGATTATAAAATGTACCAAAACACTATACAATGGAGTTGAGAAAAATAAGGAATAAGTCAGGAAAGTGCTATAGAAAACAAATAAGATAGCTACTGCATTGGAAACAATTCAAAACCTATAGCAAGAGGTCCAAACGATTAATAATAGATTATCAGAAATGGAAACTACACACTGAAAGGGCAAAGGAGTAGAATAAAGAGATAGAAGCCAGAATTAGTGAGCTAGAAGATAAATCTCTAACACTACTAAGATAAAAGAACAAATACAAAAAAGCATAAAAAAATCTGAAGAGGACCTAATATTCATGTTGGATAACATGAAGAGGAATAACATAAGAATTATTGGCATTCCAGAACAGGAACAATCACACAAGTCCACAGAGGAGATAGTTAAGAGCTTCTGGAAGAAAAATTTCCTAACATCCTGAAAAGTGAAAAAATAAGCATTCAAGAAGCTCAAAGAACCCCAGGATGGATAGACCCTAAAAAACAATCACCAAGACATATAATAATCAAGCTCTCCAAAA